AAGCCTATGATTGGAGGAAGGAGGAAAAAAGCTCGGAACAGCGCGACCTCTGTTAAAGTCGTTATCATTTACACATCACTGTGAAGTGGGAAAAGGGGCAGAGATAGAATGTAAAGCGGTACTAAGGCATAAAGCATGCAGATTTGAAGTTCGTAAGGAGGATGTGAACATGGGCTTTTCAGGCACTTAGCAATGGAAATGGCCGAGGAATGGCGAGCGTACAGCGATGGAACGGAGGCACACAATAAGCGCCGTGACCAGCTGCTCACATTAACACGCGAAATAGTCGTCCATAATATGAAACACAACGCCGAGGTGGAGGCATGCGATTTACTGATCGAGATCGAACGACTGGACTTGCTGTCCGAGTACGTGGAAGAAATTGACCATGGTCGCGTATGCTTATATTTACTGAGGTACATTCTCCCGTGTTTTCAACCAAAAATTTGAACTCAACTGCAAGAATATATATTAATTTAAAGAATTTGGGTGGTTTCAATCGTGAATAATTTGAATTGATGACTTGACTTATTTTTTTTTTTTTGGAGGAAGGGGAGGGGGCATTTTGGAACGTATAAATATATTTTACGTGGGTTGGAGGTTTGGTAAAGAGGGTGAGAAACCCAGTACCAAAGTAATGACCGGTTCCAGTGCCTTGAAATAATTTCTTTTAGGTGCTCATGTTTGATGCTCAATAACTAAAGTATAAAATTATAAAATTTTGTTCTCCACTGTCAATAAAATGAGGGTTAAATCTGTGTATTTTCGTTGTTTAATAACCCAGGATGTTGATAGGGTGTACTTGAGGTTTGTCAAATTTCCTCAAACTGTGTGTTGCGCATATCCTAGATAAATGCACCTAAGAAACCTTGTTGTTTTTGGGTATATTTTTTAGTTGTTTATTCACTAGAAAGAAAATAAGCCCTTGTCTATTTAGGGAGAAGGCTGTGGAACACAAAAATGAGCAATAAATTTTGATTTTACCTAAACTCTGACCAAATTTGATACGGCGTACTTTTCTTTCCATTTTTTAGTTGTTCACCACTGATGCCCGATCCGGACAATGAGATCCTTATCAAAACGGCAATGAACATCTACAGAAAGTTTGGCAAGAACTTCGATGCTCTGAGATGTGCAATTATGCTGAATGCTGTGTCAACAATGCGAGAAATAGTTCTGGAAACTAAAGATGTGTAAGTCCCTTCGCTCGTTCATTTTTTATGCGTTTTTTTTGCAACTATGCAATGCAGAAAATGCATATTGACGGTGTGTTGTCTGTGTGTCCGTGTGTCTATATGTGCGTCTGTACCGATTTTTCATCTCAGTGTTCCCTGTCCACTATGTTTAATGAGCTCAAACCCAGACATCGAGTACGCGTGGTACTCCCTTACGGGCCCGTGAAATTTTTTTTTTGGGTAAGTCGTTAACTCAGGGATCTGAAAAGCTAAAAGGCTGTAGTTTTACGGGAAT